TTAGCTTCTGTCATTTGCTAAAAGAATGAGTAGTGGGGAACAGGATAAGTTGGGAATTTCATAACGGGCAACAGAACCATTCTCTTGGGTAAACCTACAGAGAAAAGAAACGGAGAGGACTCCAAATAAGTTTAATAATCCAATAAAAATTTCAGGTAGAAAAAAAAAATCTTACAGTAATTATTTTAACCTTTTCCAGATTAGTCAGCCAACATGTAACAGTTTGGTAGAGTCTCGCAAATCTCTCACAGATCTCCGATTTTGAAATTGCTCAAAATATTTTGATAAATAACAACTTCCCCTTAAAATTAAGATGGCTACATCATAAGAAGAATGATACTCAGAAAGCAATTTCATTGGAGTGAGCTGCCATGAATTCTAAAGATCAAAAGCAATGCTATTGATTTCTATTCTAAAGTGATGCTAGAAATCCGTATTGGTTCACACCTTGGCACATTACACGTTACAGAAGACACAGGGACTGCGAGGTTTAGAGCACAGCTTGGCTGTGCAGGCCTCAGCTCCCCAGAAAGACAGCTCCAACTGGAGCTGTGCGCAGGTGTTTATCTTCTCAATGGCTACTGCCAATATTGGCATGGCAAATCTGGAAAGATTACTTCCTTAATTTCATAATTAATACGTTCTTGTGGCCTCACAAACTTCTGCATATGCAAGCATGATTTAAAATCTGCTCTATTTCTATTCTAATATTTAACCTATGGAGAAATCACAAAGCAGCAACAGCAGGTATTCAAGAGCACCAGATGATCGGAGGGAAATTACCCCACATGCAACAGCTTTACAAAGGCCAAAAGACATATTTACCTTACAGCCAAAATAAAGCATCGTTTTAGTAGGTTTGCATCACAGTAACATTTAAAAACCAAATCTTTTATGTGAAAAATGGGGGCATCAAATTTCACCAGCTTTGGAAGTCAGTTATATGGCACATAAAAGAGAGGAGCCTTCTGAAGTGGGGGCTTGGAAGCCGCAGGGTGAAAGTATAATGTTAAAGGAGGAAAGGGAGGAACAAGAGAGAAAATTAAAAAGATTGAGGAAAACCATGAACGTAGCTTAGTGTGTAGATATTAAAGTGATTTGAAGGGGAAAATTAAGCTCTAGCAAATCTATACTAAGGAACCTGAGACTTACTATATGTGGTTGAAAAGAAAGACTTAAAAACCTGCCCTAGGAGGCAGATGCTTTGGTGTTCACACAAAACATATCACAGTAGTCCAAGGGTCAAAAGTTTTTAGATAAACTGACCAAACATAATTCATAAGACGGATGAGGTGGTCATGAAATCCAGAAGTTGGCTGAGTGGCAAAAGCAAATGGCCAAAGCCAAAGGAGCTAGAGAGTTTGAATTTAGAAGAAATTCTGGGTGGAAGCATATTCTTGAATTAGTCCCCTCTCTCTGGCTCAGAACAGAGGAAGCCTTGACCAAAACTGAGTGTGCTAGAGGAGACATTCAGGTAAAGGATTTAACTCCAAACTCTGCACTTTGCTTTAAAGAAAACTTGCTCCAAATGTTTGAATATTGCAGCTTCTCCACATCCTTCCAGGATAGAAATGGTCTATCTTAATGGGGAAAGTGGCCAAACCATTCGCTTCCTATATATTTCCAGTTATGAAATCAGATGAAGCTTCAGTTTAGCAGTGTCTTATGGACCCATAATTTTCATCCAAACAAAAATGGAAAAGCTGATGCGTGAAGAGAAAAAGCATAATGCAAAGGTCTTCAGGCTCATGAGGAGGACTAAAGCCACAAGTAGCAATACATTAAAGGTCTTTCCCTTCCGGGTACATGCATGCCCAGCTAAGGGCTGCACTGACATACACACACTCACACATACTTTCTCACACGCACACTCTCTCACACGTGTACGCACACTTGCTCTCCTCTCAATGACAAACATCCTGCAGACGCCTGATTCTATAACATGTAGCAGCTGAGTTAGGAAAAAATGTCTAAGAGCATATCACTGACTCCAAACCTTATTGCCTCCATTGCCACATAAACCTCATTCAAAGTTATCCAAAGGGCCACTGGGCTTCAATTATGCATTTGCTTTTATTTATTTTGGGGGGAGGGGAGACATTCTTACGGTTTTCTAACATGCACTGCAGACTTCCTGCAGTAAGCACTTAGATAACACTGCTGGTGATAACCCCTACTACTTCCTCTCTAGGACCAATGATACCCTGTCTACTCCACCCCCAAAGCAAAATTTATGGAAAAGGATGACAGTTACAAATTTGGAGCGAGAATTTCCTATCCCTGACTCAAATCACCCCCTGGTTCACACAGTTCCAAATTACACACTTAAATGTACCTACATAATTGGCAAGAAGCCAAGCTGCAAACTGGGTATGGCCCTTCAGTAGCCTTTGAATGGAGTATAAGTTGGCTGTAAGAAGAACTATTTAAAATATTTAATTTCAATATGGTCAGAAACAGGCAATTAGAACAAGCAGTCTTTCAGTCAGGCAAAGCAGAGAGAAGAGCCAACTCCAAACAAACCAAGAACCACAAGGTTGTGGCATTTTCAAGGGAATTTAAGTTGGGTCACTAGAATAGATAGGCCTGCGATCCTCTGATACATTTACAGAAACCCTAGATACAAACTGTGCTTTGGACTGCTGTGACAGAGTCACTAAGGGGAGAAATCAGTAAGATGGTGTACATACCATAGGCAGGGGCAGCTGTGCTGTAACCATATGGTGTTCCATAGCCTAATGCAAAGAAGAAGGAAGCAGATTAGTACAGGACAAAGAGCAGCTGGCACTGGCCCAATTCATAATACCACCAGGCCCAGCATCCCGGGCCCTGAGGACTCCTTCCAGATGTTGGCTGGATGAATAAGAACCACTCCCACAGCGATGCTAGTCTAGCCTGATCCTTCTTTAGATGCAGAATCTTCTTACCATGGTCTACAAGACTCTCCTTGACCTTCTCGAATATCCTATGTCACTTTCTCACTGAATTTACCACACTGTATTGTAATTATCAACTTCCTGTCTGTCTTCCCCACTAGATCAAGTCTTATTCATCTTTATATCATCACAACCTAGCAGAATGTTTGGCATATAAAATACACTGGATATAATTTGTTAAACAAATGAATACTTAGGACCATTCAAATTACCAATTTCTCAAAGTTGGAAAAAAGAACTCTCCAAGCATCTTTTCAGAAAACAGCAACAGAGCAGGCTAAGACCTCAATTCCCATTAAAGAAGACACATGAATCAGGTTGTGAGATCAACGGCAAGATCCATGACTTGTTGATCTTTGAATTCCTGGCTCCTGCACAAGATCTGACAGAGGAGACCCCAGTAAATGTTGATGAAACTGAAGTAAGCATCCAGAGCCTATGAAAAGGGCTAGTATTATTAAGTAAAATATAGTACAAAGAACACAGAAACGTCTTATATTTCCTTAGACGTATAATGTCTGAGTCACCATTTTCTAATCTGTAGAACAGGAAACCTCCCAAACTACTGTAGAGTGTTTTCGTAGGGATTAGAAATAGTATGTTGATAGAAGCTGTTATCTTTATTCTTTTAGTAAAATAACTTTAAAATACATAAATCAGACACCACTATAGAGCAAAAGAGCCTGGCAATAAGCAGAACATAAATGATTCTTTTTATGGTTATGGGCACTGGATGATAGCTGTTTACCACTCTACAGGAGATAAACTTTCCAAGACCTTGGCAACAACTGACTCAACCAGATTAAGCCCCAATGGAACACATGATCAAAGACAAGAAAGGTTCATTTCAGTAACTTTCCTATTATATAATGAAAGCTTTATCCTTTAAATAATGCGTTGAATGAGGCCAAACATGTTAAATTTCAGTAGAAAATAGCCCCAATAATTGCCTTCTTTTAGTGTCTCCATCTCATTAAATGGCACATAAATTCAACCCAGTTCCTCTAGCTGAAAAGCCTAGGAAATATCCTTAAAACCCTCCTCTTTTTCATTCCCCATATTAAATTCATCAATTTTACTTTCTAAATACTCCTTCAGTCTATCTGCTTCCCTACATCCAGTGGAGATACCTCTAGTGTCTCTTGTCTCAACAACTAGCTGACAGTAGCCTTAGAACTAGTCTTGTGCCCACTCTGGCCCCTACAAGCTATTTTTCACACTATAGAAACCATGATTTTTAAAAATAAAGTCTGCTTTTGTCACTTTTCTCCTTAGGACTCTTTATGACTATCCACTGCGCTTAGGATACTAAGACAAAAATCCAAACCACAGCCTCCAGGACTGGGACGGAGCCATCCAGCTTTAACGTGTGTCACTCCACCTCCATACTGTCTGCACTCCAGACATTCTGGCCACCTCCTGCTCCCTTTGTGTACAACAGTCTTCCATCCAAGTCTTCTCCAAGTCTTCAAAGCTCAGTTCAAGTGTCACTTTTTCAGGGAAGCCTTCTGGGATCTACTAGACTAGGCCAGGCTCCTCTGTTACATGCTCTCATAGTATTTATGTTTATAATTGTTATGATTATTTGGTTAATATGTCTCTCCCTTTAAACCTTAAGTTGCATGAGAGCAAATCCATGTTTCTTGTATTTATTGAATGAGTGAAATGTACTCTTTCTTGACAAGAAACATTTCTGAGAGATGCACCTACTGGGACAAGCTTCTAAAAATATAATTTCAAGCATCATTCATAAAGCTTCCCAAATGGTCTAGTCTAATTCTTTCTTAGGTGTTATCTAAAAAGTAGTAACTAAGTAAAACTGTATCTTAATGACAATTTCATCTTGATCAACAACTACAAGTAATCTACTTTTCAAGTTAGAAGTTCCATATTTTCAATACTGCAAAGAACTCGATTTTAACACGACAGCTGTACATCTACTGCTAAAATGATGTAAGGATTAGAAGAGAAGACAGAGAGAGGACACCTTCCCCCATCTCCCTCAAGCCATGTGGTAAAACGGAAAGAATAAAACTTTGGAATTGCAAACACTTTCATTCAAATCTTTTGCTTTGTTGTTTACTAGTTGTTTCACCCTAGACTAGCTGCCTTACCTCAGTTTCCTCACCTGGAAAACAGAAATAATTTCTACCTTGGAGAAACACTATGAGGATTAAAAAACAAGTCAAATCACTTATTCAAAAGTATCTGGTGTACAGTAAGCCCTGGATAAATGTGTTCCCCTTTCTTTCTTTTTGTACTTCTTTAGCCTTCGATGGTTCCCAAACACTGTGTTAAACAAATGCTAATAATGCCAGTTTTCACCCTTTTTAGCTAGGCTCTTATCAATAATTTTTCTCTCCTGTTATACCCAACCTGTCTTCTATGTTCCCACTGAATACACCCTGCTCAGTGTCTAAACTCCTCAATCTTTGGAACATCTTTTAGCCTCCTCACTGTCAAAATAGGTCCCCTCAATCAAGCGCAATATTGCTCATCTGTCATTTCCCTCCAGGAAGCCTCAGCAGACTCCATGAGAAAACCTATGACATTCTGTAGAGTCTCTTCTTTTGAATTTCTGTGTACACCCAATTTACATCCATGCTGTTATTTCCAGAGACCCTGTGTAACCTCAGAAAATCAAGGAGATGCTATTCTTCAAAGTCTGACCCAGGAAAGGAGGCAGAACTCTTGGAGATTGTACTATACCTGGAGCTATGTAGCCAGGGGCAGCTGTGGCCCCAACAAAAGCTCCCCTTGTTAGAGCTCCTCTTCCTCTGCCCCGAACAGCTTGGACTGCTGCAGACACAGCTGTATTCACAACACCCTTTGCCTGATAAAAATAACACGTTTTCATTAGTGAGAGAAGAACTATCATCCTATCATCTATAATGTACAAACTCTAAGAGAAACCTGAGCCTGTAGGTGAGACAGTGTTGTTCTGTGCCCTTCAACCCTCAATTTATCATCTGTAAAATGAAAATGACACCTGCCTTACAGAACTCTTCCAGAGAATACATGCTGGACACATAAAAGCATGCAAATAATGTCTCCTTTTCAGTTGAGTGTTACCCAGAAAACAGTTTATTTTCTACACATAAATTTCAGTAGTCAAATTACATTCAAAGTCATTTTAGCCCTGATTAAACTAATTGTGAGGCATTGGTGGTGGTTCGCAATGCCTGCCTTTCATGCAAGAGACCTGGGTTTGATTTCCCAGACAATCCACCTCATGTGAAGCCACCACCCATCTGTCAGTGGAGGCTTGAGTGCTGCTATGAAGCTGAACAGGTTTCAGGATAGCTTTTAGACTAAGACAGACCAGGAAGAAAGGCCTTGCAATCTACTTCTGAAAATCAACCAATGAAAACCCTATGGATCATAACAGTCAAATCCACAACCGATCATGGGGATGGCCCAGGACTGGGCAGCATTTGGCTCTCTTGTACATAGGGTCACCATGAGTAGAGGCCCAGTCAACAGCAGCTAACAAGAACAACAAAGTGATTACAGACACTTGGTACCTAGGTTCAAAGTCCATTGCAGTCTCTGCCCAGAAGCAGAAAACACCCCACCAACAAACTACCTAGAATTAGCTGTGAACATGAATGGGTTAAAAAAAAAAAAAAAAATGAGTAAGACAGAAGACCAAGGATGTGGGTGCCAGTTCCTGCACTATAGGTAACTATGACCTCAGAAAAGTCATGATTTCTTTGGCTTCTTTCCTCTGCTGTGTTTATGTATCAATCAACCATTAAATAAATAAATACCACTCCTTGCTCTAAAATGCCATGGCACCCTACTGAAGTCACATGATCTCTCTCTATGCTGATCTTCCAACTGTAAAACTGGGATAATAATACCCACACTTTGTTTTCCTTACTTTAGAGCTGAAAAAGCAACTGAGAAAATAGGTATGAAAACACTTGGAAGAGTAGAATAGATAAATCAAGAATGCTAAACCACCCTTTTCCCACATTGAAATGTTAAGAAAATCAATACTTATTCTTAAATATTAGTATGCAGAAAAAACTCAAGCTAGAAAGTACTAAAACTCCCTACTACAACCAAAGTGCAAGCAAGGTGGTACAGAGCCTCAGAGCATACTGTATGATAAATTTACCAGTATCTTACAACAAAGGAACTCTAAGACAGCATAAATAGTCAAAGTACACACACACATTTATCTCACCTTGAAAAGCCATCATCTTATTCCACCTAGGATACTACCTCTAGTATGACTAGGCCGAAGATACTTTCAAGGTCGAATGTATAACACAAAGAAACATTTTTCTATTTGACTGAAATAAATCCCACACATCCAAAATAGACTGCGCCTTGGCTGTCAAGCATATTGAACACACGAGTTTTATAGCTTCTAGTATGGAAGATTTCTAAAACTGAGTGAACTTCATACAGACATCTTTTTTTACACAGCTTAGTCAAAAGTAGTCAGGGAGCAGCAATCTGGGAGGAGCACACAAATCTAACTCAAGTCAACCAGAGACAAACAACTACCTAACAAATATCTGTGTCTATGCTTTTAAACACTAAAAGTAACTGACCAAGTACAAAATGTAACCCATGGGAAAAAACACACCAAACCAAACAAGGTAACAATTATCTTTCCACTAATTTAGAACATATTTTGTCCTATATACCAAAAGGTTTTTAGGGAAAAAAAAAAATTCACTTATTGTCTATATGTGTACTGCTGCAATTTTAATGACCCTGTATCTATTTCGGAAACCCTGGTTGCGTAGTAGTTAGAGTTCAACTGCTAACCAAAAGGTCGGCAGTTTGAATCCACCAAGCGCTCCTTCGAAACTCAGTGGGGCAGTTCTACCCTGTCCTATAGGGTCGCTATAAGTTGGAGTTGACTCAGCGGAGGTGGGTTTTTATCTATTTCAACTCAGTAAGGTTATTTTTCCATTTATGCTTTGAATCCTAGAATTTAAGCAGTGTTTATTATAGTAAACTCAGGAGTTTAAATGAAGAGAAAACAAAAGTCTAAGATCAACGTGACAAGCAACCAGAGAGTGGCCATGGCCTTCGGAAGGACAAGAACATGGTTTAAAGCAAAGCTACACCATCAATCAGGAGTCCTTGGGTGGCACAAACTGCTAAATGCTCAACTACTAGCCAAAAGGTTGGCAGTTCCAACATACCAGCAGTGCCTTGGAAGACAGGCCTGGTGATCTATCTGCTTCCAAAAGATTACAGATTTGAAAACCCTATGGAGCAGTTCTCAAATCAACTTGACGGGAACTAACAACCCACCCTACTATAGTCAAGTATCTTAATATGGGCCTTGTTTCCTCATTTGTAAAATGAGATCAATTCTACCCTCCTACAACGGACTTAGCATATTTAAAAGAAACTGAACATAATATTTAACATAGACGCTTCAATAATCTAAGTTTCCTTCTATTTAAGTAATTTTAGCTGATTTGTTTCTAACACATAATATATTCAGACATCATTACACCAGTACTCTCCATGAGGTAGAGAATGTGTCTTATATTTACTTATGTATGTCTTTTTCCCTTACAATATGGCTCATGCTATATGTTTGGAAAATATTTTTTGAATGTATAAATGACTAGGTAGAAGAATTTGATATGCAAAAGCATATAAAGGCCATCGTTTCTAAATACCTTGTTGTATACCTGGGCCTTCAGTAGCACTGACATCCCCGATGCTAATAATGAACAGAAGCACACAGTGTCAAGTTCTACTGTGCCAACCTCAACTGAAACTCAAAACAAACAAAGCAAAGGGACAAACATGGAAAGGAAATGGAAGAGCACCTGCAGACTCTGATAAAATAAGCCCTAAATATTCTTGGCAGCTTCCCTAAACTAAAGGAATGCTAACAACTCAGTAAGTCCAAATCACCTCAACATTCTATTTAACTAAGAAAGACCTCATCCCCACCCCCTAATAATAATAATGGCCTTTAAAATCTTTTTTTTTTTTTTTTTACCTAGAAAGATGACATATCAAGGACCCACTGGTCAGATTTATGTTATTCACTGACCTAACCCAAAGAAAAAGTTGCCAAACCTAAGAAAAGGAATTAGCTTTAGAAAATGCTAAGTAGCACAAAGAAAGGGAAGGAAATTTAATTCTTGTAACATTTTTAAAAATATTGCAAAGGTTTAATGCTAACTCATACCTGAGGGATAATCTTCTTTTTCTTATTATTTGCTGCATTGGGTCCAGAAAACAGCTTCTCAAGGGCAGCTAAAGCTGCACTTGCCTTTGCCACTTTCTTATTTGGACCTGCGCCTCTGAATTTCTGTCCATCTACTTCTACCTAAAATCAAGAAAAGCACTTCGCAATTATCCCATGAAATTCCCCCATAAAGTTTTAACTTAAATGTATCATAACACAGAAAACACCAGAAGTCAAACAGTGCCACAACTGTCTCAGTCTAAAATATAAGCTCAAGATATCCTATATTTTTGAGGAAAAAAACAAGGTTGGCTTGTATCTAGGTACACACCTCCATTACAAAGCGTTTGTCATGGCTTCCACCAGTCTCTGAGATGAGTTCATATTTAAGACCTCTTCTTTTTTCATTAAGCTCCATTACGGGATTTTTGCCACTTGCTGTGAGGATAGGGCCCTGAGTTCTTACCTACAAGAGAAAAGGAATATGCAGGTTTTCAATCAAGATTTTAGAGTATTAAATTTGTAATATTCTAATTTTAAATTTATAATATTAATATAATTATGCTATGTCTCTGTTGATAAAGAGGTTCACCAATTCTACTTAAAATCATTTTAGGAGCTAGGATGAGTGATCACCTGTATACAGAAAGGGTAAAATATCTTTAAAGGCATGGAACTTCTACAATCAGTAAATGCTGTAGTCAGTAATCTGGCCAGCCTGCCTTCAGTCCCAACAGACTAGCAGTCAACACCAATGTAGCCTCACCACTACATGGCACTCCAGGGTCTGATGTATGGTGTTCATTATCTAATAACAATACTCTAAATGACTAACACAGAGGTTAGAATAATTGGGATTCAGAGGACACCTAAAGGTATGCTATTTTTCATCTTTAGAGGTAGGAAGAAATACCTCTCAGTTTGGGGGTAGGAAGAAAATGTGCCTGCACACCTCTCAGTCTCTCCAAACAGATTTAAGGGCACCTAAGCTATAGGTTCGCTATGAGTCGGAATCAACTCGACAGCAATGAGTTTTTTTAAGCTAAAAACAGAGCCCTGGTGGCGAAGTGGTTAAGAGCTCAGCTGCTAACCAAAAGGTCAGCAGTTCAAATCCACCAGCCGCTCCTTGGAAACCCTACAGGGCAGTTCTACTCTGTCCCATAGGGCCGCTATTAGTCGGAATTGACTCCACAGCGACGAGTTTGGTTTTTGGTTTAAGCTGGGGTGGTATAAACAGTTAACATACTGGGCTGCTAACCAAAAGGTTGGTGGTTCAAGTCCACCAAGAGGCACCTTGGAAGAAAGGCATGGCAATCTACTTGCAAAAAATCAGCCACTGAAAACCCTATGGAGCATAGTTTTACTCTGACATGCACTGGGTTGCCATGAGTCAGAACTGACTCAAGGGCAACTGGTTTTTACTAGTTAAGGTAAAAACAATCAGTTACATAATACAGATTCTGAGATTTAAAAATAATAATAAAGGCAATCATTTCCTGCTCTCAAAGAGCTAGAGTTTAGTGGGAGGGACAGAGGCATGTATAATCACTGCAAAACAATGTAAGAAAAAGTGAGAGCACATGTATGTTAAAGAAACACAGTGGACAGAATAGCTCTCTAGGGCAATCGCCATAGTTGTCATGGAAGTGGTACGTGAGCCGGACCTTAAAGAGTACTGGACCATATCATCAGGAGGAAAACAAGAGAGTAGAGCATTCTGGACAGAGCAGTGATGCAAAGGCCCAAGAGAGAAAAAGAACACTTGTTTGGGGAATGGCAAGAAGTTTAGTTTGTATGAGGGAGTAAGGAGAGGGTATGAGGAAGTAAGGAAAGGGCGGTGGTGTAACAGGACCTGATTAGAAATACCCTTGATGGGGCCAAACTGTATAGGACTTTGTATGCCAAGCAAATGAGCTTTGACTTTATCCTGGACAATGAGGAACCACTGAAAGACTTTAAGCTAGAAAGTGAAGTTATTAGATTTATGTTACAGGAGAATCACTCTAGCAGGAGTGGAAAGGACTGATGTAAGGAAGGATAAAACTAGAGGTAAGGAAGAGACATAATTCACGTAGAAGTGTAAAGGCTCAAAGAAGACAAAGGCTACCATACACCACACACACGCACGCACGCACACACGCACGCACACACCACACTATAATTTTGAAAGAGGAAAGACTAAAAGATCAAGCACTCTTTGAGGTCACAGATCATGTCAGTAATTCCAGGACAGTAATTGCTCAATAAACGCTGAACAAAGTAAATGAATGCCCAAAAGAATTCTTTTGAATACAAATCTAATGGACAGCAAGGCTCTCTTAATAAGGCACCCTGTGCTGATTTGTAAGTGGCTGATGCTGCAGAAGTGAAACAATGGACAATTCTGAAAGACAAGTTAGTAAACATTCCTGGGTCTTTTGCAATAAATATCACTCCTTAAAAGAGTCTTTATAATCTATATTTTTTTAAATTTCAGGGCAAATTTCCAGTTTTCATTTTTAAAAGGTAATGAATAATTTTTGAAACTAGGTCTATGGCAATCGCCCTCTGCTTTCCAAATCTGAAATCACTTTTCTAAAATTGAGTTAAGACATAAAAACATTTGAATTTCTAATCAGTTACTGGAGCCCTGACGGCGCAGTGGTTAAGTGCTCAGCTGCTAACTAAAAGGTTGGCGGTTCAAACCCACCAGCTGCTCTGCGGGAGAAAGATGTAGCAGTCTGCCTCTGTAAAGATCTGTAGCCTTGGAAACCCTACGGGACAGTTCTACTCTAACCTATAGGGTCACTATGAGTCGGAATTGACTCAACAGCAATGGGTTTGGGGTTTTTTGTTTGTTTGTTTTAATCAGTTACTACTATTTTAAATGAAGAGATGAATAATAAGGGGTTTCTTTTTCCCCCCATTACTACATTATACAGAAAGTATATGTGTATTCACTACCAAAACCTTCATATACTCAATGTGGCTACTATTAGCCCAGCCCACACTGCTCTCTCCCTTTTCTAATCCCTTTTGTACTTAATGGGTCTGAGCCTCAGAACTAACAAGCCCTTTCTTCTCTTAGTATATATAACACCACTACCAAAACAACACTGCTCTGTGATTACCACCTGTGAATGACTGGTTTTCTCAACAGCCAGGCATCACATCTTCTGTCCACAGGATCAGGTGGAGAGTCAGGCTTTGCTTTCACAGGTCTCAGCCCCCATCAGTCCTCTGCCTTCTCCATACTGGCCTGCTTGGCTATTCCCAAACACTTGCTTCTGCAGCTCCAGATCATTATATCCCTATTCCTTCTGCTGAGAATGCCTTCTCTTGACCGCTTCCCCACATGGTAAAATCCTACTAACACCTACCTCACATTTCACCTCCTTTGATTTTACATGACTGTGTGTGTGAGTGTGAGTATGTGTAGATCTCACAATCACTTCCTCCTTTGGGATGTGCATTATTATATTCATTTTACAATCACAGTACTTATCATGTTACATTATAATTAGTTATAAACATGTCTTGCCCTTCTAGCCTGAGAGTATCTTGAGGCCCTGGATGCAATTTCTGCAGCACCTAGCACTGAGAAGGTACTAAAAGGGGTTTACGGACTGAAAAAATAATAAATACTTATTAGTCTTAGCACAAATGGCAGTCAAAGTAGTTTTTTTTTCCCCCCCAAAGAAGTAAGCTCTGACTGTTACTTTATCCTGGACAATGGGGAGGGCTCTGTGAATTCCCAAATGTACTAAGTATACTCTGTATTTGGATCTCATCTCATTCTATTATCTGTGGCAATAAGCTCACAGGTCAGGATTTAGAGTCTGAGATACATAGTAGTTCAGGCTATGCCTTTCTTCAGGGCTGGACCAACTGAATGATCACCCACTGTCTCCCACAGCCAGCTAAGCACAAATTTCAAATAGTCACAAATTTCCCCCGTTAGATCTTTCAGTTCTTCATTCTTCTTCAGTTACTGTTAATACTCTTAATACATTATAACTATGAAATATTAGAAGCAGCTTCCATGGCAGCAGCAGAGAAATAGCTAGTTCAATTAGGTTATGCTCATGTGATGGTATGTTGTACAGTTATACAGTTACATTTACAGATTTTTTATGGAGTGATAAAAATTGCCTGAAAATTATGACTGACTACATAAAAATACTCAAAGAAAAAAAGCCAGATGAAAATAAACCAAAATATTAATAGTGGCTACTTCTGGGAAATAAATTTGCTTTTGATTTTCTTATTTCTACTTTTCCATATTTCTGAAATTTTCTACAATGCATATTACTTTTTTCCTAAGGAAAAAAAATATATAAATTTACCTCTAAGGTACTGGAGGTTTCAGTTGTAGAATTTCCAGTATTATTGCTTGAGTTTGAAGACACTGTTTCATTTTTGCCTTCATTATCTGATTTTTCATCGGAACTCATACATTCAATATCTGCATCAAAGCCTGTTGGGTATCCCATTGCCTGCAGTACCTGTACAGATTACATTAAAATTCGGTTTTCATTCAAGCATCAGAGATCATGCAGAACAGATGAAATGCCTACAGCAACAATTTCAAATTCATAACATTTGGACCCATGAAGCTCCTTGCAGGAAGAGCAAGAAGGCACTAAATCTACAAAACTTAAACAAGTTATACCTACCAGGGTGTCACCATGGGAAAATGGGGGAAAACCTCTTAAGAATAATTAGGTTTAAATTAAGGATAAGTGAAATGCCATCCGGACTTTGCTTCTAGATCATTTAATTTGGAGGTGAAAGGTAAAGGAAATAAATAGCATAGCCAAATTCAACCAATGAGATGAGGGGAAAGGTAAAACACCACACTGTAAAATGTACACTGGACTGTAAAAGACCTGAGGTTCTCACCCAGTATCTCTCCTCTGGTCCTCAATTTTCTAGTCTGCAAAATGAGAAGACTAGATTAGTTGATATCTAAATTCTGTAACTCAACACATTAGGGGAAAGTGGCCCAGAAGGGGAATCAAGTGTTCTACTTATTGACCTCCTTGCTTTCAACTTAAACCATAACTGAGATTTAAAAGAAAATAAAAGATTCAGTCTCTAGGTTTATTTTCTATGATAAGTGAGCTAGAAACAATTTTAGGCTTGTATTTCTATCCCTGCCTTTCAATGCCTAGTTACTTTATAGATACTTCCAATGCTGAAACTTCTTATTTTTCCATTCAGTTGCCTGGCATTTCTCATTCTCATACTCATTTGAAATGAAGCTTTCAGAACACTGTTGTGTGTACCTTTTTATCTAATACCTCCTTCCCGGTTCTACTGCCTTTTCTTTAGATGTTTAAAAGAGAATATGTTTGTTTGCCTTTTTTTTTAATGTTGTATTTTGATTTTGGTGAAAGTCTACATAGCAAATTAGATTATCATTTAAAAATTTCTACACACATTGTTACAGTAACATTGGTACATTTTTCACAATATATCAGCATTCTCATTATTTCCATTCTGGTTGCTCTGTTTCCCTTAATCTAACTTCCCTGTCCCCCTTACCTTCTCATGTTTTGTTTAGGGAAAATGTTTACCATTTGGTTTCATCCAGATGATTATTTAAAGAAGCAGAGTACTCACGGATGGTATTATTTATTTTATGGCCGATCTATCACCGGGCTGAAAGGTGACCTCCGGGAGTGGTTTAAGTTCCAAGTGTAAAGGGTATCCTAGGGCAATTATCTTGGGGGTTCATCCAGTCTCTATGTTCACTCACATTTTTATAGGCTTCTTTCCAAGTAAGCTGCATTATCAGTTACTAATTAAAGATTTATATCAGAGGATACAGAGATAGGTTCCTAAAGACACCTGTATTTGTTTCAGCTTTCAACTAATGTTATAAGTTCCTGCAGTATAAAAGCAATGTCATATTTCTTTACATCCCAACTGTACCTACATAGATGCCTAAAAAACTGTTATTGCAGCTACAGAAATGAGAAGCCAGAAACCCAGCTTTTATAAATGACAGCATCTTGTATAAAGGATTCTGCCAATGCAAATAAAATAGTATTACTCTAAACAAAATATGGGCATAAGCGGATTTCTGTACTAAGGGAACTTGAAATTAATTTATCCAATTCATATAGAGAATTTGGCATTCTGTTGAACATTTCAAATCATAAATTCTTTGTATTTATTTGGGAGTAAAGCCAAGAACCCCTTTTAACATCTTAAGTTCTAAAAGTACTCAGGTAGTATTTTACACTAAGTACACGAGCATCATTTGGTTATATCCTCATCGATATTTTACAAAGAAAACACCTTCTCCACTGTCTGAGTCCTACAAATATGCTCTCCTTGAGAAATTTCATCTCTGAGAGACTAGAGCTCAGTCTGGCATTAACACTAGCTAACACCAGCTACAAGTAAAAAGCCAAGAGTCACAAATAAATTTGCTTTGTTTATCCCAATAAAAACTAAAGATATGAAGCTTTTTCTAATTTAACATATATAGCTAAAATAGTCTAATATAAAAAATTAGTTAATAGCACTTCTTTTTGCCTTTTTCTCAAATATCAGATTCATTTATTGGTTGTTACTGTAGAAACACATTTCAGTATATTTAAAAACAGTTTATATAGCTGAAGCACAATCTCTGAACGGATATAGTGTTCAACCTCAATACAGCATAACTAACAAAAATATTTCAAGTTAAGTCATTTTTCTATGAATACATTTTTTAAGAGTATTACTACTGTACGCTACAGAAGTCAGAAAAGTAAAGATTCCTCAGGTCTCCGGAACCAGAGTTTGTTTAGAATCAATATTGAGGCCAAAAAAACTGGTGTACCAAAGAAAGGCGAGTTTCAGGTGTCTGGTAAGCAAATTCCAACCTAATAAAACACATCAACAGAGCTGAAAAATCTGATCCCTGAAAATAAAGTGACTGGAAAATCCAGCTATATGTAACCATGCCCTTTTCTTCCTGGACAGGTTGAGAAAGATAACCTCAGAGACTAGGGGCCAAGAGTGAAAAGAAAACACATGGCACTCCCCCCTATGGCTCTTCACTCTAAAGAAAGTAATATTCATGGCTTCTGTATGATACAAATTGCTCAGGGAACGTGGTAGCTCCAAGAACTTTCCCAAAGAACCTTCGCTCCTTGTCTCCCTCTAGCTGATCTTTTTCCGCATAATAACTAAGAGTTTTCATGGAATCATAATGACTAAGTTTTTGTGGAATATGGCTGATTACTTCTCTAAAGGTGACCTTCGTGGGGGCTGTCAAAGGAAAGAATTGGAAGAGGAATGGTGTCATGGATTGAATTGTGTCCCCAAAAAAATATGTTAATTTGGCTAGGCCATGGTTCCCAGTATTGTGTGACTGGTCCACCATTTTGTCATCTGATGTGATTTTCCTATGTGTTGTAAATCCTATCTCTATGATGATCTCTATGATGTTGATGAGATGGGATTAGTGGCAGTTGTGTTAATGAGGCAGGACTCAATCTACAAGACTGGATTGTGTCTTGAGCCAATCTCTTTTGAGATATAAAAGAGAGAAGCAAATAGAGAGACACAGGGATCTCATACCACCAAGAAACAAGAGCCAGGAGAATGGTGCATCCGTTGGACCCAGGGTCCTTATGCTGAGAATCTCCTTAACCTTGGAAAATTGATGACAAGGACATTCCTCCAGAGCTGACAGAAGGGAAAGGCTACCCCTGGAACTGGTGCCCTGAATTCAGACTTCTAGCGTACCAGGCTGTGAAAGAATAAATTTCTCTTTGTTAAAGCCATCCACTTGTGGTATTTCTGTTACAGCAGCACTAGATAACTAACACAGGGAGTGAGATTGTGGAGTATCGAAAAAGATTGCAGGATACTTCTGACTGAGATCTGATTAACAGGCCCTCATGTCATATAGCAGATTAAAAATTGCAAACCAAATAAATCACCCAAGGAGAGGTTTTCACCTCTGGATTACTCTGATCTTTAATTTATTCTAGCTGGATGGATCAAAAGTCTAATTTATCCCATTTTCCAAAAGGGCAAATTTCAGTTCTTCTCAAATTTCAGATTTACAAGTTAACTGTACAGTCTATGAAGATTGCACTTCAGGACCAGAAGAAAGGAAATAATAAAGATCAGAGTAGAAATAAATGAAACAGAGAAAAACAATAGAAAGAATTAACAAAACCAAAAGTTGGTTCTTTGAAAGGGATCAACAAAATCAACAAACCACTGGCCAGACTGACAAAAGACAAAAAAGGAGAGAACGCAAATAACCCAAATAAGAAATGAAATGGGGGACATTGCAACAGACCCAACTGAAACACAAAGGATCATAACAGAGTATTATGAAAAACTATACTCCAACAAATTTGAAAACCTAGAGGAAATGAAAAAATTTCTACAAATACACTACCTACACAAACTAACACAAAGTGATGTTGAAAATCTGAACAGACTCATAACAAGAGAAGAGATTGAAAAGGTAATAAAAAAAAAAAAAAAACTCCCAACAAAAAAAAGCCCTGGCCCAGATAGCTTCACTGGAGAATTCTACCAAACATTCAGAGAAGAGCTTGCACCAGTACTACTCAAACCATTTCAGAACATAGAAAAGGAAGCAACACTTCTGAATTCATTCTAGGTAGCCAGCATAACCCTGATAAAACCAGGCAAAGATGCCACAAAAAAAGAAAATTACAGACCAATATCTCCCATAAATATAGATGCAAAAATTCTCAACAAAATTCTAGCCAATAGAATTCAGCATCATATCAAAAAAATAATAACACCAAGACCAAGTAGGATTGATACCAGGTATGCAAGGATGGTTCAACATTAGAAAATCAATCAATGTAATCCACCACATAAATAAAAGGAAAGAAAAGAATCACATGATCATCTCAAGTGACACAGAAAAGGCATTCAACAAAGTCCAACACCCATTCCTGATAAAAACTCTCAATAAAATAGGTATAGAAGGGAAATTTATCAACATAATAAAGGGCAGCTACGCAAAACCAACAGCCAACAGCCAACATCATTCTTATGGAGAGAGGCTGAAAATATTCCCCTTGAGAACAAGAATAAGACAAGGATGCCCTTTATCACTACTCCTATTTAACATTGTGCTTGAAGTCCTAGCCAGAGGAGTAAGGCAAGAAAAAGAAATAAAGGGCATCTAAATTGGTAATGAAGAAGTTAAACTGTCCCTGTTTGTGGATGATATGATACTATACATAGAAAACCCTAAAGACTCCACAAAAAAACTACTGGAACTAATAGAAAGATTCAGCAGAGTAGCAGGATATAAGATAAACACACAAAAATCAGTTGGACTCCGATACACCGATAAAGACAACGATGAAAAGGAAATCAGGAAAACAATACCATTTATAATAGCCCCTAAAAAAACAAAATACTTAGGAATAAATCTAACCAGGGATATAAAAGACCTATACAAAGAAAACTACAAAACACTACCACAAGAAACATCTACAGAAATGGA